GGTTTAGGGTTTAGGGTTTAGGGTTTGTGCAGGCCCCTTTGCGAGGGTTTGCGCTGCCGGAAAGAGCCACGGAGAAGACAGTGCAGCAGCTGCGGGAAAAAGTCGAAGCAGAAAAAATAATTCTTTTCAAAACCCTCAGAGCACTGCAGCACGAAACCCTCAGATTCGTCAAACAGGTGCTTCTTGCTGCTGCTGCTGCTGCTGCTGCTGCTGCGGCTACTGGTTGCGCTGCTGGTGTTGCTGCTGGTGGTTGTGGTGCTGCTTCTGCTGGTTGTGCAGCGGCTGCTGCTGCTGCTGGTTGTGCTGCTGCTTCTTCTGGTTGTACTGCTGCTTCTGCTGATTGTGCTGCTGCTGCTGCTGCTGCTGGATGTGCTGCTGCTGCTGGTAATGCTGCTGCTGCTGCTGGAAGTGCTGCTGCTTTGTCTTATTGTTGCTGCTGATGCCGCCGGAGCTGCTGTTGCTGACCAAGGTGACTACGGCTTCGCTGCTGCTGCTGCTGCTGCTGCTACTACTACTTTTGCTGCTGCTGCTTCTCAAAATCTAGCTAACTAGCTAGCTAGCTAGCTAGTGATTGTTTTGGAATATTCTTCTTTTGTTTAATTTTTTTAGATTTGCGAAACTCCGTGGCGGTTTGAAGAGCAAAAAAAGGAAAAGGAAGCAGCAGAAGCAACAGCAACGGCAGCAGAAGCAGCAGCAGCAGCAGCAGAAGCAGCAGCAGCAGAAGCAGCAGAGAAGCAAAAGGCAGCAGAAGCAGAAGGAAGGCTTCTTGCTGCAGAGGTTCGCAAGCTGCAGCAGCAACTCGAGAGAAGCAAAGAAGACCTGCATAATGAAGAGGTTAGCAGCAGCAGCAGCAGAAACAGCAGCAGCAGAAGCAGCAGCAGCAGCAGCAGCAGCAGCAGCAGCAGCAGCAGCAGCACAAGCAGCACAAGCAGTGGCAGCACAAGTGGCAGCAGTACGATAAGCGGCAGTAGCAGAAGCAGCACTGGTACAGGCAGCAGCAAAAGCAGCAGCAGCAACAGCAGCAGCATGTCTGATGTTTGTGTTTTGCTTTCATTTAGAATGAGAAAGAAAAAGCAGCAGCAGCAGCAGCAGCCGCAGCAGCACAGGTGCAGCAGCTGCAGCAGGAAGTTGAGAGGCTGGCACGTTATGCAGAAGATAAGCAGCAAGAGACAAAACAGTTAAGAGAAGACAACAGATCTGTGAGCTGCTGCTGCTGTTGCTGCTGCTCCTGTTGCTGCTACCGTAGAATTGCTGCTGGCTTTGTTGCTGTTCTCGCTGCTGCTGCTGCTTGTGTGGCTGCTGCTGTTGTTCCTGCTGCTGCAGCCTTTACGGCCGCCTTTTCTTTCGTATTGCTTTTGCAGCAGCTGCTGCTGCTCTAAGCGTGACTGCTGTTCCTCTTGCTCCTGCTGCTGCTGCTGCTGCGTTTCGTGCGCGCCTCGCACTCCTTCACTGGCGCTGCTGCTGCTGCTGCTGCTGCTGCTGCTGCTGTTTGTGCGCGCAGCTTGCAGAGTCGCTGAGGACGGCTCAGGAGCGTTTGACTGAGGGCGCAGCAGCAGCAGCAGCAGCAGCAGGCGCGGGGCCGCTGCAGGACTTGGCTGCGCTGCTGCAGCAGCAAGAAGACACAATTCAAAGGGCGCTGCTGTCAAGGGCCCCTTCACGCTTCATAATCCGCAGCAGCAGCAAAAGGTGGCTGCCCAGCAGCAGCAGCAGGAGGCTTCCGAGCTGCTTGCGGAGCCGGAGAACTACTTCGTTTGCTGCCAGCAAAGCAACCACCGGCAGCAGCAGCAGCAGCAGCAGCAGCAGCAGCGGGGGGGAGGAGAAGGCCGCCGCTGCAGGCAAAAAGAAGCAGAGAAAGCCACACCCAAAAATGCAGAAGCAGCAGCAGCAGCAGCAGCAGCAGCTCGAACTGCAGCAGCAGCAGCAGCAGCTGAGATTGCAGCAGCATCAGCAGCAGCAGCAGCCGCAGCAGCAGCCCCTCACAGACCGGAGCGTTTCCGTAAGCACCGACTTTATATCTGGGTTGGAGGCCGTGTTGTCTGCTGCTGCTGAGGGTTTGCGCTGCGTGGAGCTGCTGCAGCAGCAGCAGCAGCAGCAGCAGCAGCTAGCAGCAGCAGCAGCAGCAGCAGCAGGACTGGGGTTCCCCCAGCAGCAGCAGCAGCTAATCTACCTTGAAGAAACTTTGCGCAGCATTGCGCAGACAGCTGAGGGACTTGCTGCACACTGCACCTTCGCCCTATCGCAGCAGCAGCAGCAGCAACAGCAGCAGCAGCAACAGCAGCAGCAGCAGCAGTCGCAGCGGTCACTTTCTTCTGGGGACGCTTCAGAGATTTGCCGCGCCGAGGTGCAGCAGCACTTTCATTTAATTATTTATTTTTTTTTTAATTTTATTTTTAATTTTATTTTTAGTTTTAGTTTAAGTTTTAAATTTTTAATTTTAATTCATTTTTTATATTTTCTCTTTGCCTGTATTATCATTTGTCATTATTTTAAAAACCGTTTACTTATTTCTTTGTCATCTATTCTTATTGTTGACTATTTATTTATTTATTTATTTATTTATTTATTTAATATCTTTATTATTTATTTATTTATTACTTTTATTTAGCCGTCCTCGTTAGCTGCTGTGGTTCTATTTATTAGTCTTTTTATTTTCGTGTTTTTCTCTTTCTTTTAATCGTGCTAGGGTTTAGGGTCTAGTGTTTAGGGTTTAGGGTTTAGGGTTTAGGGTTTGCGTGATGCACAGGCTCGGCTGCAAGAGGCTTCCTCCTTATTAGTTGCTGTTGAGGCAGCCCTGAAACCCTCAGAGCAGCCGCAGCAGCAGCAGCTGCAGCAGCAGCAGCAGCAGCAGCAGCAGCAAGTGGCGCTGCTGGGTATGGGGGGCAAGGAATATCTTGAGGCGGAAAATGAGGCGCTGGTAAATTAATTTATTTTAATTAATTAATTTATTTTAATTAGTTTATTTATTCTAATTAATTAATTAATTAATTAATTAATTTATTTGTTTACTTTAATTTGTTTACTTCAGCAGCTCCCTCCGTGTTTGTTTCTTTTGTCTTGCACTCTGTGAGGGTTTAGGGTTTAGGGTTTAGGGTTTGGAGTTTGTGGTCTGCAGCGCCAGCAGACGCTGCAGCTGGAGTCTTCACTGGAGCTGCTGCAGCAGGAGCTGAAGCAGCTGCAGCAGCAGCTGCAGCAGCAGCAGCTGCAGCAGCAGCAGCAGGAGCGACAGCTGCAGCAGCAGTTCGACCAGCAGCAGCAGCAGCAGCAGCAGCAGCAGCTGCTGGTGACGCTGCCGCAGGGAGCAGCAGCAGAAGCAGAAATGCTAGCAGC